CTCAATAAGTTTGGGAGTTTGATGGTCTGTCATATCAAAGTTCAATCGATGTGGCATTGACAGAGACTCCTGTGTAGGGGTGGTAGCTTGTGGCCTGATCCTGTTAGATTGTGTCTGTCGCACATGTAGTGATGGCGAGGGAAGTGGAGCCTGTAGGGCCTGTGGTGACAACCGTATTGTAGGTTGGTCCAGCTGTGGCACTACGGCTGGAGCAGATATTTTGTCGCCGGAAGGTGCTTCCGGAGGCGGCCGTTCATCTGACGTAGGCAGTGATACTGCAGCCCAAGAGGTAGTGCCATGAAAGGGAGAGAACTTACGAAGGTGCTGGTGGTTTCGGAGAGTCACTCTGCCTGTGCCATCCACACAGATGACATACTGGTGAAACTGACGCACTTCCACAACAATCCCTGTACGTTCCCATATCCGAGGATGGTTTCTAACCAGGTTTTGTATGTAGACGTGATCTCCAATCTTCAGTGGTGGTAACCGGTGAGAGTGTTCATTCCACCGTTCATGTTCTCTGGCATTACGTCTGGCGAGTGCTTTCTCCCGATGGGACATTAGCTCTGTCCATGTTTCATGAGGTGAGTATCTACCCATCAGTATTGGGATGGCATCACGGATGGGTCCACCAAACAAAACTAACGCTGGTGATGCCTTTGTCTCCGGGTCAACGGAATTTCTGTACATCAGTAGGGCCCTCTGAAACATGTCCACATCAAGAGACCCAGATGCAGTTATGTTGTCCATGAGCATACGTTTTACAGTCTTCACTGCCATCTCAGCCCTGCAATTAGCATGTGGATTTGCGACCGATGAAATCCTATGCAGAACACCCCAGACTTTGAGGAATTCCTGTGTTTTCCCTGCTGTAAACTCGGGCCCCCATCTGATGTCAACTCCTCAGGAATGCCAAATGTCACAAAAGTCTCTCGCGGTCGTTTGACAAGACCATCTGCCCATGAATCTGATCCGTGCACTATAGGCTAGTTGGAATATCTAGCCACGACCACCACATAGTCCTTGCCAGTGAATTGGGAATTGCCACCCGCCTCACTTTGGGATCAACATGGAGCTGTAAGGGCTCACCCTTCATAAGAGACAATGGTTGATGCTCACAGACATTGAAGGTTGTGGAACCATAATAGTCAAGAGAGGTTGTGGAACCATAATAGTCAAGAGCCCCTATGTTCTCTTCTGTGGCCCGTAGTCCTGGGGTAGCGTAGTCGGCAGTGTTGGGGGTTCCGTTTGACCTGCAAGGCAAGAACAAGAGAACTCAAGAGTCCTCAACTGAGGCGGTGACATCCGTAGGCATATTGGGGAAGTCCGTGTGAATGACCCCGAGAGATATGAGCGCTTCCCTGCAAAGGAAGTCCTTTTCCATAGTGTCAGATACATAGCAAAGTATGCGTGTTGACCGTGTAGAGTCAATATGTCTCCTGTGGAAATGTTTACCACAACTGCTCCCATTACACCAAGGTCTTCTTTTATAGCTCCATGCATGACAAGCTTAACAGGGAGAAGATCCTGTTTCAACATTCCCATAGTATAGGCATATTTCTTGACACCCTGTGTCAGCCACCATAGATATTGTGACTGATTTCAGTTTTGACGTCTTCTGCATGGGGTGTCCAAAGGTGGTGTGATCTTCTGGCAACGGTGGCATGTTAACCGACAACATGGGATGGGGCCTGGAGGGGCGAGCTACCCACTGTCCCTCATACACATGATGTTCAAGTCTTGGGGCCTGCCTTCGAAGCCCGGGGCAAGTGGTAGAAGTGTTCCGGGAACAACTCTTTGCTATTGCTGTGCACAGTTGGTCATACACATAACCAGCTTTGTCCAAGTTTGTGTCCTTAGATGAAACTCCTGAAGCATGGCCTTTGGAAGAATTCCTGTGACCCGTACCCTGAGGACAAGTTCTGGATGAGGCATTACGGTGACCCCAGATACCACAGGTTGTGCATTTGCTGCAGGATGTAGTGAAGTGTCCCTTCACTGAACACTTAGCGCACGTAAATGTCCATGCCTCACAATTCTGAGAACTGGCCCTGTGGTCATTCTTAAGTCCGTGAGCTGCGCTACCGCAAGCCCAGCATCTCGCTCCAGACGATGTGGGTGGCTTTGGGTCGGTATGAGTAGCACACATGGCACCTGAGGAATCTCACACTGTACACTTTGTTGCTTTACCCTGCTCCTTCTGTGCAATAAATGACACAGTTTCTTCCAGTGTCCTGTCTGTCTTTGGGTCACCTAGCAAGTCAGATAGAATTTCTGGGTCAGCAATACCCTGCACAAGATTATCCTTTATGATCTCATCACTATAGTCAAACATATGAGTACAATGTGGCACTTTGCATGTGGTCCTATACTGGCAGAGTGCAGCCTGGCCGCAAAGACTTGCCAAAAATGTCCGAACACCGATGCCAGGAGATTGTGTCAAACTGCTCAGCTTGATGCGATGAAGGAGAGTACTTTCATCTTTAACAGCCAGTCTCTTAATAGCAGCCAGGAGATCAGCCTCGGCCATATTAGCTACATCGCACTGAAGGTCACGTAGAACATCTGTCCGTAGATTAGTGTCACAACAGTAGAATAGCGCAGTGGGAGAACAGTGTCAGTAATGGCCATTCCAACCTTATACATGTTCCACTGCCTAGTAAAAGCTGACCATTGGTCTGGGTCACATCCAGCAGAAACAATTGGTGGGTCCAACTTGAGCTTTAATTTTGGTGGTGTTGAATTGGCTGGGGTTCTATGGACAGTCCTGTCATGAATTTGAAGAGAAGCAGTGACGGCAGCTGCAAATTCTGCTGCCAGGTCTTGAGACGTCCATATGCAGCCTGCAACAGGGCACTGTAACACTGGCATAATGTGATCTTAAGATGTGGCAAAAATGAGTGATGAACAATGGCTTGATGACAAGGCGATAACCCTTGGCTGGGTGTCGGGGGTGTATACATAGTAGTAGCAGTCATAAATGAGAATTAACATCTTCATTTCTTTCGAATTCTTTAATCTAAAGGATGACTGCTACCTGCAACGTACAAACATAATATAATGATTAGTTAGATGTGTACAACATTAATGCACATATATTTGGCAGGATATTTTTTTGAGTTGACCAGGTCGAGTTTTGAGTTATTTGGGGGTCAATTTTCATATGTGCTATTTCAGGGTAACAACTTCAAAAATCTTCTTCTCAATAACCTAGTGACCCAAGTTCATGATATTTGTTGAATATCATGCTCAAGCAATGGACTATCAAGTTTGATAATATAAATGACCTTGACCCATGTTCAAGGTCACTGGGTTCATTTATGTTAAAATCTTCAAAAGATTTCTTCTCAATAACGGAAATGACCAGGGTATTGATTTTTAGCTCACCTGCCCGAAAGGGTAAGTGAGCTTATGCCATGGCGCCGCGTCTGTCTCTTGAAGGAATAAAAGGATTTGTCCCATATTTGGTCTGAAGCATCCTTGGGTGAAGGGGAACCAATTTAGTATAAACTGTGGGTCTTGCGCCCGAGGGGCCTGAGGGGCGGGGCCCAATAGGGAACACATAGTAAATTCTTTAAAATCCTTTTCTTGTAGGAATGAAAGGATTTGTTCCATATTTTGTCTGAATCATTCTTGGGTAAAGGGGAACCAGTTTTGTATAAATGGTGGGTCTGGCCCAAGAGGAGCCTGAGGGGCGGGGCCAAATAGGGGAAATATAGCAAATTCTTTAAAATCCTTCTTCATCTGTAGGAATGAAAGGATTTGTTCAGAAGCATGGTTGGATGAAGGGGAACCAATTTTGTATAAACCGTGGGTCTGGCCCCCCAGGCGCCTGAGGGACGGGGCCCAATAGGGGAAACATAGCAAATTATTCTTTTAAATCCTTCTTCTGTAGGAGTAAAAGGATTTGGTCGATATTTGGTGTGGATCTGGAGCATCCTTGGGTAAAGGGGAATCAATTTTGTATAAATAGTGGGTCTGGCCCTCCTGGGGGCTGAGGGGCGGGGCCCAATAGGGGAAATATAGCAAATTCTTTAAAATCCTTCTTTGTAGGAATGAAACGATTTATTCCATATTTGGTCTGAAGCATTCTTGGGGAAGGGGAACAAATTTTGTATAAATGGTGGGTCTGGCTCCCCTTGGGGCTGAGGGGCGGGGCCCAATAGGGGAAATATAGCAAACTCTTTAAAATCCTTCTTTTTCTGTAGGAATGAAGGGATTTGTTCCATATTTTGTCTGAAGCATCCTTAGAGAAAGGGAAACCAGTTTTGTATAAACGGTGGGTCTGGCCCCTAAGGGGCCTGAGGGGCAGGGCCCAATAGGGGAAATAAACAAAATTCTTTAAAATCCTTCTTCTTATGTAGGAATGAAAGAATTTGTTCCAGATTTGGTGTGGAGCATCCTTGGGTAAAGACGAATCAATTTTGTATAAATGGGGGGTCTGGGCACCCTGGGGGCTGAGGGGTAGGGACAAATAGGGGAAATATAGCAAATTCTTTAAAATCCTTCTTCTGTAGGAATGCAAGGAGTTGTTCCATATTTGGTCAGAAGCACCCTTGGCGGTCCGTCGTCGTTAACATTTTACATTTTCAACTTCAACAGGCTAACATTAGGAATGTTACTGACAACTCCCTGACCAAGTGTTGTTATTTTTCTGGTCGATCAGAAATCAAATATGGCCGCCACGGCCGCCATTTTGAAATACTATTTCAAACTTAAAGTCAAGTTCTCATGGTCCTGACAAAGTGTTGTTATTTTTCGGGTCGATCAGAAACTAATTTGGCTGCCACAGCCGCTATTAACTATTGCAAACTTAAAAAAACTACTTCTAATAGGCCAATTTAACTGAAACTCAGTCTAGGAATGACAAACTTAAGTTAATGTTATGCTTAACTATTTTTTACTTAAATTGGTACATATTTTCAACAACAAAAATAAATACTGTAGGACTCAGGTGAGCGTTAAGGCCCATTGGCCTCTTGTTTATAGCATATCAGCTAACCACTCTTAGAATAATGCAGATCTTATTTTAATGTAAGAAAGTATATAACACTATATGGCAGTCGATGGGCGTATATTGTTCCGCCCTGTGTTACTCTTGTTTGGATCTTTCAGAAATCCAATATGACCGCAAGGGCTGGCAATTTTCAAAAACTATTTCAAACTTGGAATCAAGTTCTACTCGGCAGTTTTAACTGAAAATTAATAGGAATGATCAACTCGTGGCCCTGACAAAGTAATGTTATTTTTGGGGTCGATCAGAAATCCAATATGACCACCATGGCTGCCATTTTGAAAAACTATTTAAAACTTTAAATCAAGTTCTAATAGGCCGAATTAACTGAAAGTCGGTCTAGGAATGATCAACTCATTGTCCTGATAAGCTTAACTTAAAGTTATACTTAACTATTTTTTACTCAAATTTTGGTAGGGATTATTTCAACAACAAAAATAAATACCGTAGGACTCGGGTAACCGTTAAGGCCCATGGGCCTCTTGTTTTCTTTATAGTCCGAGAGGTGTGTATATCTGTGAATTTCAAGACTTTGTGCAGTTTTACAGATTCTTAGACCTTGTATAGGTCTGTGTAGTCTGAAACCTTGTGTAGATATATGCTGAGCAATCGCATATCAAAAAGGTTTTGATATAATGAAAAAAACTTTCCTGTCTTGGGTTTCAGGTACGAAATGATTACATGAGGGACATAGCAGAACACATAGAGGCTGACATAGCTATCAGGCTAGGCTGCATTGAAATGAGGTGAGATATGTCACTTACTACAGTTAGAATTACACCCAAGTATCCACTTTCTGTGGCCCGAAACCAGGACGCACACTTTCCGAACGGAGACGAGCCGCTATACGACCGCAGGACGAACCCAGTACGAACGCATGCCTACCGATAGGACCGGTGTTACCGATTGGGCCTAACACTACTAGTACAGCCGCTTCCCGAACGGAGTGAGGTTATCGGCCGCTACCGGCCAATAAACTGCTTAATGATACCTCGCCGCTATCGACCGATAAACTGATACCTGGTCGGTAGCGGCGGATCGAACGAACGAACTATGCAGCCGCTTTCACGGGACGGAACTAGTAGTAGTCATCTGGATAACCGAACCACTCGTAGTGAAGCGGACGTTAATCTACCTACAAATAAACAACCGGTACTAGTGCCCAATTACACATGTACTTACCTCCCACAAGATATATTTAAGTCCGTAACTAAACTAATAAAGCCGTGTTATTTTAACCCTTAGGCTGCTACGCACAACAATAGTCGTTTTGAAAAGTCGGGCCGTCAGTGCTACGCACGACTATAGTCGTTTCTCGGTCTGTAGGCTTTGATCGGTAGCCAGGAAGTGTGAAGTCGGGTTGTTGCTATACCAAACCCGAACGCGTATAGTAGAAGGCTTCTGATTGGTTGTTTTGTCATTACTTTCGATATTCACGGCAGTGTACCCTAGTAATAACCAAAGGTGTGCGAGAGAATTTCAAATCGAAAAAAAATCATAAAAATGGCGGACGTGTAGATTGAAGCGATGAATATGATGGTGAACATTTATTCTCCATCGTCACCTACGATGATAATAAAGGTTTTAAAGGGTTTTGCATGGTTGATGTGGAAATACTTCGGTGTTACATAATATGTAACTTTCCAGTAAACGGCTTTGTGCTCTACGCAAACAGGAAAATATCGGCGGACCGAGGCGCACATGTCGTCTGCAGGTGAGGCCGAATTGAACATTGACATTGATACGTTTTGAGCCGATTTATTTCTTCAAACTTTTTATCGGTGATTTAATCATAAACTAGACCGTAGCTAAGATATATCTATATGCCGACTGTGACAGTAAATTTATTGAATGGCGACCTGAAACCTGTAGCAAATCACATGCAATTCTTGACGAAATACCTGACCTTTTTACCTGAGAATCTCCGTGTAAATATACAGCGTCTTATGTCAAAAATGAAGTTTATAATCTCTGTTATCATTTGCCAATCACATTTGCGGACAAAAATAATTTTGAAATGATCTTCCTCTTGCTTAAATCCGATTAATTAAAAGTTTCACATTTTCTTACCTTTATTACCACCTGTACAGGTAAATACTGAAGCAACTTTAGAATTGAAAACGTTAATATAAACTAGAGACAACAACGAACAATTTTCATATAACTTTTTTTCACATATAACAAATATTTTCCAAGTTATGCACATTTGAAAAATCAAGTAAATTAATTTAAATTTCAATAATTAATTCAGCAGTGGTGTCCGTTAACATAGAGATCAATATAGCAGCCTAAGGGTTAATAATGTCGGATCAGTCTAAGAATAACATCTTTCTTATTCTTATGATTAAAATGTTACTCAATGATACAATTTCTACAACATATATTTGTTTGAATAGGCGGTCGTTTAATCTATGTTATAACTGAATGACCACAAATGTATGGTATACCTAGACAATTACGACACAATTTAAATTCAAATACATGATTGCTAGCGAATTGTAACCATAATCACGGAATCACGTAGTCCGTGCCAATATTCAGGGAAGAATTGTCCTACCACATTGTGTATTTTTTAATATCATCAATATGCCTGTTTGTTACATGAAATACCATATTATATTAGCAATGAGTTAAGACAAGATTTTGTAAGTGATAATCGTTCTGATGTGTATGACCAATGCGTGTCAGGACGGCGTGTTACGAATTTCAATCGTTCAAAATTTCCCACCTGAGTGAACGCCATTTTGTAGGACATGGAATTGACTAGTCAACAAACCGTACTGATCTGGACTGAAAATAGAAAATAGTATTCTTTGTTTAGAAGATTACGGACCGCCTATTTTTGTTGATAAGTCACTTCCATGATCTAGAAAATGGCGATCGATCAGGTGGGAAATTTTGAACGATTGCAATTCGAGGACTCTGCTGGCGGAATTCAGCAGCTGTTGGTAATAATAAGAGCGGATTTGGATCAATAAATAATCNACTATAGTTTATATAGGGAAATAACACTTTTGGGTATATTTTGACAACTTTCTGTAGGAAATTATTTTTACTTGGTGAGAATTATCCTTGGAGGTAGATGGTTTCAAATTGTAAAATTGAGATTCCTACCCCGACCCCTGGGGCCAGGGCGGGGCCCCAAAGGGAAAATTAATCAATATTTCAAAAATCTTCTTCTCCAGACTCAGAGGTACTACATTCAATTTCAGTGCATGAAAAGAAAGATCATCAGGGGCTTTATTTAAATTGTAAATTTCAGGACCCCCGGGCTATCTGTTCTCCCTGTTGGAGGGGCTAAAGTTTACTATAGTTTATATAGGGAAATAGCACTTTTGGGTATATTTTGACAACTTTCTGTAGGAAATTATTTTTACTTTGTGAGAATTATCCTTGGAGAAAGATGGTTTCAAATTGTAAAATTGGGATTCCTACCCCAACCCTTGGGGCCAGGGTGGGGCCCTAAAGGGAAAATTAACCAATATTTCAAAAATCTTCTTCTCCAGACTGAGAGGTACTATACATTCAATTTCAATTTATGAAAAGAAAGATCATCAGGGGCTTGATTTAAATTGTAAATTTCAGGACCCCCAAGCTATCCGTTCTCCCATTTGGAGGGTGTAAAGTTTACTACAGTTTATATAGGGAAATAACACTTTTGGGTATATTTTATCCATTTTCAGCAGAAAATTACTCAAACTTAGTCAGAATCATCTTTGGTGAATGAGGGTATAGTATTACATTGTAAAATTAGGATTCCTGCCCGATCCCCAGGGGCTAGGGCGGGGCCCAAAAGGGAACATTTACCAATATTTTCAAATTCTTATCTTTTGATGACATGACAAGTATTGTATTTCACTTAGTTTACATGCTGATTTCCACATTACATCTAAACAATAAAATAAAGCTACCAGTACCTATGATATAACTCAGGTGACCGCTAAATCCCTTGGGCCTCTTGTTGTTGTCAGCATCTCAATTAAAACTGTCCGATACCAAACGGTTTCGGACAATTTTACGTTTTCATAAACAGTAATTAGTGCGCTCTGGTCCCAAACAAGACGTCTATCTGTCAAACTGTCTTTGTCTGATGTCAGCGGCGGCGGAAACTCAGAACTGATAGCATGGTATACAGAACTTTGATATTTATCTAAAAAGTTGGTTAAACAGACACAGATACATTTAGTTTATAATTTATTAAACGTGGGATAACCCCTGTTACCTGCGGCTATTGTTAAATAGTTTAGTCACAGTGACCCGGCTACAGTTGGTTGGTTTGGACCTATCCCGCTGTGTAAAGAGTTATATCTCTCGAAATAAATGCCACCCCTCCTTCCAACAGCACCCGAGAAAAGATTTAAGTGTCTCAAGTCGCAAGGACGTCTTTTGCCGGCGTATCTAGTTTCTACCACGAAATCGTATAAATTAGATGTATCTCAACCAACACCCGGGAGAATGATTACTCCGACATATCAGAGTTAAGTCAAAACAAACATTATTGTAACTAATTCGCGGGTCCGTATAGTTTATAGTCTGTTTTTATACGTCTTTGATTGAATTATGAGACTGAAGTACAATGTTTTACGTATTGTTTTAATTTAATTCAAGTATTGGACAGGGAAAGTATAAAGACGACCACTTTGCACAGGTGTGTGTAGCTTCGGGTATATAATAATGAAAAATGAAGATGAGTAACACTTACATACCCTTTTCATTATGCATTGGAAACGTATGGTTGGTGTTTCTATCTATATGCGTTATATGTTTTTTTTATATTAATTGAATTCATATGAGCTTCAGATCACTAGTACCGTAAAAATTCCAAAAGTTTGTGGGGGTTGGGTTTGGCGGTATCGATGGCAACGCCTCCTTATCTCCAATGAATTCAACTTCCTATACAACGACAGTATCTGACGAATAACGGCAACGTTTCTTTTAAAATACTTTTCTAACATAATAGTTTTATTTTTCCTTTCTTTATTCTGCATTAAAAAAGATATTTTGATAGGAAACAAAGTATATCCTCAATATCTTATATAATTGACACAAACATGCCCAGTATATAAAACCGTCCTTTTGTATGGTAACTTTATGCAACTTCTATCAGATATACGATATGCTACTGATTCGTGTTTCATTAGCTGAAATCGAAAGATTGTATGAGATAATTAATTGTTCATTTCGCATTTCAAAAGAACATACAATTTTACACTAAATTTATTTAAAATTTTCATATTTTTTAATTTCCTTTATTTCTCTAATCCACGATTTTATTTTACTTTAAAATCATAATCTATGTTTTAAGTTGACAAAATGCTTGTAACTATTTTATGTTAATTTTCATAAAAATCACAATGCAAATGCTACCGTGTCGAGTCATTTACCTGGATATGTAACAGAAAAGATCCGTGTGTTAGTTAGGATGACCATGACCGCTATCAGGGGTACGCAAATTACCTCAGCGGGGGTGCACCATCCCCCATCGGTACTTCAATTTTCGCCCCTAGGCATCTTCATTTCAGTAAAGCCAGACCCCACGCCGTACATCGCCTGTACTGGATCTTATATTACGTAAATGATTCAGCTATCGTTTTTTGTC